TCTACTCAATGATACATTGTAGTATGCGGTTTGAGCAAAATACGTTCTTATCCATATAGGTCTAAAATGTATTTTCCATCTAATTAAGTTATAATTGCTCTCAAAAGCTGTGTACATTCATCTTCTGGGTTTAAAACAGAGATATCTTATACAGCCCTCCATAAAATAAATAGATCGATAAAATTATGGTTTGTGTTATATTCACATGTAAGGGCGGAGGGGGGACAGCCCGTCCCTGTTGCAATAATTAAAAATGGTTTCTAATATATTCACATGACGGGTTTTAATGTCTGAAAAGCCGAAGAGATTTCTCTTATCCGATACCTTTACCCCTCCAACTAGATTTTTCCAATAATTATCTCTGACTTTAACATGTTGAAGGCTGGATTGGGTATTGGCATTGAGCTGTCTTTAGGGATAGACAAAATAAAACATTTTGTTGACGTTTTTTGGGTAAGCATATTTTAAAAAAATGATTTGTTATTTTTACTGATCTCTTCAAATTTGAGCATTAGAAAATGTGGACAGTTCAGTTCAGCAGAATTCTGAATGCACGAGGGTTTTATGTTGTATTTTCAGGCATTCATGATGAGGAAGACTTCAGAAAATGAACCTAAAGGAAGAGCAGCTGCAATTATGACAGAGGTATTACTAGATGCCGAGTGCAAGGGAATTATTAATGCATCTCAGAAGAAAGTTCTTCTCCAGGATATGGCCATCAATCTTTCATAAAGATCCATCTCAGGCTCAGCATGCATTATACATAGTTGCCCATACATCCTATACGTGGGTTTTTGGTTGTTTTGTCTTCTAATTCTTTTTATAGGACCATTTTTGGTAATATATTGGAAATAGAGACAGAAAGATTAGCTAGCTCCATCAAGTGACAAATTTAGTAAGAGTGAAAAATATGCGGCGGCATCATTTAGGTTTCCGTTTATTGTTTGCGTTGCGTCTAACCCCACGCTCTGTATATTGTAACCTGGCAAAATATCATTTTATGAAATCCTTCTTGTTACCATTGTGTTATGATATTTTTCTCAACAATTTTGTCAGTGTTCATAGTTGGATTATAAAAGTTTAGTGGCTATTAGAATAAATGACCATTCATGATGGTGGTAAATCAACATAAGCAAGAATTTAACTGACGTGCTTGATTTTGAGGAGATATTAGACAGAAAAAAAAATGAAACAATATTTAATTTGAATTGTTTGATAGAAAATAACAATTTGAATTTGAATTTTTTATTTTATTTATTTTTTCACATTTTTTTCCTCTAAAACACACTCTTCCCTCTCTTTACACTATCAAACAAAAGCGAGAAAAAACAATTGTTGATAACTAAATAAATGGGTTGTATTAATTTTTATTGCATATATTGTCAGAGTACTGTGGCAGTATAGCTATTTTCTTTTCTACTATGCAAGTAGCACCAATCACGTATAGTTGTCCATCACACAGTTAATATGGCAAGCTGGTGAGGGACAGACGCATGTACAAATGGTTTTTTTTTTTTTTGAATTTATTATTTTCATTTTTCTTTATTGGATGCTTCTTTTGTAGGCCATGACCATTCTCATAATGTGATAATCCATTAATTAAGCATCAACATATCTATCTTTCATTTCTTCTAACATCATTTTTCTCCATCTTTTAGGCAAACACATTAGTATGTCTGTGCCATCTGTCTCACACCACCCAACACCTTTATTATTCTTTGAATTATTCATAACTATATCCAAGTAATCTAATTTATGTTCACATTCTCTAATTTCAAAAGCTTTATTACTCTGAATTAGACGTTTGAACATAATGCATTATTATAATGACTGAAAATAAATTTATATGCCGACAATGTAAACTCGATTTGTATCATGATTTAGTTTCAAGCATATGTATGATAGTTTTGTTAACTTTTACAAATAATAATTTCGAAAGCCATTCTAATAATCACGTCACAAGACAATAAAAAGTATTTTATTATTTCAACGATTACATTATAAGATTGTGTTCGCTTCCAATTATTTATTATTAAGAGAAATAAGAGAAATCATGTAAAATGGATTTTGATAACATGTTATATAGAAACAAAGACGTTAATTTACGAGATTAGTTTAATATCTCATCTCACTTAAGGAGATTCAGGATGAAAAGAGTGATTTTACAATCTTGTCCAAGTTAATTTCATGTGTCTTGCCTCTGGCTGATTTTAGAATTGGTTGTGAATTTAGTTTTGTATAGGGTTAGAATCAGTTATAAAAATAATGGAATCGATTCTTCTCCACATACTTATATATTATATATATTAGATAAAATCAAAAGTTGCATCTTAATTCTTAATAATATATATTCTTTCAAAATTCTTGTCTCCCATCATTGTTCACCAAAATGTTTAATTTTAATCATATTTCAAATATTATACTTGATAAATAATTACATCATACGGAAGTGGTAAATTTTACATATTCCATTTTCTATTGGTATATTTCAAACCATAAATTAATTTGAATTTAAAACTTTTTATTTAAAAACTATTCCTCAACATACTTTTTATTTTTAAAATTAATTTAAACTCATCAAATTTGTATTTTATATTAATTTTAACTTCAAAGACAAATTTGTAATCTTTAATTTTATTATTAAGACTTATTTTATCTATCACATTTATCAAATTATTCACAAACTTCTATAAATTTTATCTTTAAATCTACTTTCTTTTCTCTCCAAATCACTTAAAAAAATTAATACAAATTTTATCTTGAAATCCATCCAAATTCATCTTCAAATAAAAAGCAACATAAAGGTCTATAGCCTTTTATATAATCGTTTTATTTTAAATTTAATGCAACATTTTTAACCTTTTTTTTTCATCTCACTATTTTATCATGATTTCTTTTATATTATTCTGCATTTATAAATTTATTTAACCTCAAATCCACTGTACACTTTAACTAAATAAATTCATTTGGGTCTATATTTAATCCGTGTAAAATAATCAAATTTTCTATTTCATCCTCATAATATATGGTGATATCTATTTTTCATGAATCGTTTTTACCAAGTTCCCCATGAGATATACTTATAAAAATTGAATTGAGATTACTAAAATTAAATGATACTAACTTTTTATTACCGTAAAATTAACCAGTTATTTTATTTATTTAGAAGAATAAAAGTGAAAAATAAATACTGGAATTACTCTTCTAAACAATAAGCTGGTAAACACAAAATATTCTAAGAACACTTGGTTATGCAGCTAGGATTTGAGATGTGACTAATAGTTTGAGAATGAAAAGATTACACACACACATATCTATCTATCGATCTATGTGTGTGTGTGTGTATATATATATATATATATATATATATATATATATATATATATGTATATGATGTATGAGGTTTGGATGAGTGAGGAAGCAAGTGCAGAAGTACTGTTAAGCTTGTATTGGATTAAGACAGATGCAATCGGTTAAAAACAAAACGAATATGAAGACATATATGGACACTCTTTAGTACTATATTTCCTTTTCCAATCCTCCCTGAGAGATTGTATTATCTCCTTGTCCCTTTCCTTTCACTGCTTTTTCCTTACCAAACAAATCATGGCCCAAATCATTTTGTCCCTCTCTTTTCCCCTTCTATCTATGCTCCCAAATTCAACAACAAACCAAACTTCCACTCGTTTAAAAGGAGCCAAATAATCATCTAACTAAATTCCAGGCTCAAATTACCACACATTTCAAATGAAATCATTCAGCAGCCAAATAACATTTTAACTCATACCAACACTGTCTTTCGTTATTTTAAACTCTCTTTTTATGCTGTGGAATCGAGCTGACTGAACAGTAAACAGTGCTATGCTTACACATGAAAACAAACCTATGATCTTGTTACAGCAACTTAAATAATTGTACGGACCATAAAGAAAATGTCAAATTTTGGTATTTGTCACTGTGTTATATATTGTTAAGTGAAAAGAAACGTTACAGGGATTGTTTTGAATCTGTTTATTGATAGATAAAGTGGTTTTTTGAAGATTTTGTTGCTGGGTGGGTGACAGTGGAAAAGGTAGGAGCTAGCTAAAATGATAATAAATTAACAATGAAGCTGTGTCAACAATAAAAGGAGTGCAATTGTTTCACTTCTTTAAAGAGACCAAGTTTGTCATGAACCGGTCCCCGAGTTGCTGTGTCTTTCTCTTAGTTTCATTTCCCAAGAAACATATCAGATACTCTACATTTACTTTCTTTCTCTTTCTCTCTCCAAATGCTTTTCAATTTCAAATGCTAAAAGATCTCATCTCACTATTACTACAGTGACTCCACGAAAAGGGTGATGAACCTGATATTGCTGATCCAACCTTTTCCGGAGATGGATTCTGAATTTTCAACAGCTTTAGAAGCTCCATAAATACATTACACTAAAACACACATCAGAGTCTTAATTATAGAATAGAAGAGAGAAGTTGCATTTTCTCTTTCTCTTTTTTCCAGGTTTAGTTTGCATCAGCTTAGTTATGCATGCAGCTAGATACACACATCTGGGTCGTCATGATAATGGAAGCTGGCGTGGTGTGGTCATAGATCATAATCATATATCTGTTCTCCACCTAGCTACCAAAAGTCACAGGCTCAGACACATAGCTTCTCCTGATTCTCACTTCTTCTCGTTAACTGTTCCAGCACATCTCTTCTCTTCTCTTCTTTCATTCATTGCTCTTTCTCCTTTAGCTATGTCTCTCAGCACCTTCACCAGCTACTCAGTGCATGCCTTCAACACTCGTCACTGTCATTTCACTACACAACAAAACTATAATAAATTCAACACTGCATCATGTTTCAAAACCTCACATCACGCATATTAATTTATACATATAGACTTGTGAGAGTATTCGTTTGAAGGAGTTGTACATGCATGTCATAAGTGTTATAATTAAATTTAATAGCTTATTAAATATCTATTTATTACTTGCTTTACTGGGTAACTGTTAATTTACCTGAAGTACATTCATTCAGATGTTGATGAAAATGATGGCAAAGCCTTTTTCCCAAGTAAATTATTGAGTTGCCTTCCCTATAATTTTCACCGGCCTGAAAACAGGTTAATTGACAAAAAGCTGAAACATTATTCAAATCTGGAAGGACTTCAGAAGAGGGATGTTATGTTTTGAAACGCTAGAAAGACCTAAGAGGTATAGCAGNATAATTATCTCTGACTTTAACATGTTGAAGGCTGGATTGGGTATTGGCATTGAGCTGTCTTTAGGGATAGACAAAATAAAACATTTTGTTGACGTTTTTTGGGTAAGCATATTTTAAAAAAATGATTTGTTATTTTTACTGATCTCTTCAAATTTGAGCATTAGAAAATGTGGACAGTTCAGTTCAGCAGAATTCTGAATGCACGAGGGTTTTATGTTGTATTTTCAGGCATTCATGATGAGGAAGACTTCAGAAAATGAACCTAAAGGAAGAGCAGCTGCAATTATGACAGAGGTATTACTAGATGCCGAGTGCAAGGGAATTATTAATGCATCTCAGAAGAAAGTTCTTCTCCAGGATATGGCCATCAATCTTTCATAAAGATCCATCTCAGGCTCAGCATGCATTATACATAGTTGCCCATACATCCTATACGTGGGTTTTTGGTTGTTTTGTCTTCTAATTCTTTTTATAGGACCATTTTTGGTAATATATTGGAAATAGAGACAGAAAGATTAGCTAGCTCCATCAAGTGACAAATTTAGTAAGAGTGAAAAATATGCGGCGGCATCATTTAGGTTTCCGTTTATTGTTTGCGTTGCGTCTAACCCCACGCTCTGTATATTGTAACCTGGCAAAATATCATTTTATGAAATCCTTCTTGTTACCATTGTGTTATGATATTTTTCTCAACAATTTTGTCAGTGTTCATAGTTGGATTATAAAAGTTTAGTGGCTATTAGAATAAATGACCATTCATGATGGTGGTAAATCAACATAAGCAAGAATTTAACTGACGTGCTTGATTTTGAGGAGATATTAGACAGAAAAAAAAATGAAACAATATTTAATTTGAATTGTTTGATAGAAAATAACAATTTGAATTTGAATTTTTTATTTTATTTATTTTTTCACATTTTTTTCCTCTAAAACACACTCTTCCCTCTCTTTACACTATCAAACAAAAGCGAGAAAAAACAATTGTTGATAACTAAATAAATGGGTTGTATTAATTTTTATTGCATATATTGTCAGAGTACTGTGGCAGTATAGCTATTTTCTTTTCTACTATGCAAGTAGCACCAATCACGTATAGTTGTCCATCACACAGTTAATATGGCAAGCTGGTGAGGGACAGACGCATGTACAAATGGTTTTTTTTTTTTTTGAATTTATTATTTTCATTTTTCTTTATTGGATGCTTCTTTTGTAGGCCATGACCATTCTCATAATGTGATAATCCATTAATTAAGCATCAACATATCTATCTTTCATTTCTTCTAACATCATTTTTCTCCATCTTTTAGGCAAACACATTAGTATGTCTGTGCCATCTGTCTCACACCACCCAACACCTTTATTATTCTTTGAATTATTCATAACTATATCCAAGTAATCTAATTTATGTTCACATTCTCTAATTTCAAAAGCTTTATTACTCTGAATTAGACGTTTGAACATAATGCATTATTATAATGACTGAAAATAAATTTATATGCCGACAATGTAAACTCGATTTGTATCATGATTTAGTTTCAAGCATATGTATGATAGTTTTGTTAACTTTTACAAATAATAATTTCGAAAGCCATTCTAATAATCACGTCACAAGACAATAAAAAGTATTTTATTATTTCAACGATTACATTATAAGATTGTGTTCGCTTCCAATTATTTATTATTAAGAGAAATAAGAGAAATCATGTAAAATGGATTTTGATAACATGTTATATAGAAACAAAGACGTTAATTTACGAGATTAGTTTAATATCTCATCTCACTTAAGGAGATTCAGGATGAAAAGAGTGATTTTACAATCTTGTCCAAGTTAATTTCATGTGTCTTGCCTCTGGCTGATTTTAGAATTGGTTGTGAATTTAGTTTTGTATAGGGTTAGAATCAGTTATAAAAATAATGGAATCGATTCTTCTCCACATACTTATATATTATATATATTAGATAAAATCAAAAGTTGCATCTTAATTCTTAATAATATATATTCTTTCAAAATTCTTGTCTCCCATCATTGTTCACCAAAATGTTTAATTTTAATCATATTTCAAATATTATACTTGATAAATAATTACATCATACGGAAGTGGTAAATTTTACATATTCCATTTTCTATTGGTATATTTCAAACCATAAATTAATTTGAATTTAAAACTTTTTATTTAAAAACTATTCCTCAACATACTTTTTATTTTTAAAATTAATTTAAACTCATCAAATTTGTATTTTATATTAATTTTAACTTCAAAGACAAATTTGTAATCTTTAATTTTATTATTAAGACTTATTTTATCTATCACATTTATCAAATTATTCACAAACTTCTATAAATTTTATCTTTAAATCTACTTTCTTTTCTCTCCAAATCACTTAAAAAAATTAATACAAATTTTATCTTGAAATCCATCCAAATTCATCTTCAAATAAAAAGCAACATAAAGGTCTATAGCCTTTTATATAATCGTTTTATTTTAAATTTAATGCAACATTTTTAACCTTTTTTTTTCATCTCACTATTTTATCATGATTTCTTTTATATTATTCTGCATTTATAAATTTATTTAACCTCAAATCCACTGTACACTTTAACTAAATAAATTCATTTGGGTCTATATTTAATCCGTGTAAAATAATCAAATTTTCTATTTCATCCTCATAATATATGGTGATATCTATTTTTCATGAATCGTTTTTACCAAGTTCCCCATGAGATATACTTATAAAAATTGAATTGAGATTACTAAAATTAAATGATACTAACTTTTTATTACCGTAAAATTAACCAGTTATTTTATTTATTTAGAAGAATAAAAGTGAAAAATAAATACTGGAATTACTCTTCTAAACAATAAGCTGGTAAACACAAAATATTCTAAGAACACTTGGTTATGCAGCTAGGATTTGAGATGTGACTAATAGTTTGAGAATGAAAAGATTACACACACACATATCTATCTATCGATCTATGTGTGTGTGTGTGTATATATATATATATATATATATATATATATATATATATATATGTATATGATGTATGAGGTTTGGATGAGTGAGGAAGCAAGTGCAGAAGTACTGTTAAGCTTGTATTGGATTAAGACAGATGCAATCGGTTAAAAACAAAACGAATATGAAGACATATATGGACACTCTTTAGTACTATATTTCCTTTTCCAATCCTCCCTGAGAGATTGTATTATCTCCTTGTCCCTTTCCTTTCACTGCTTTTTCCTTACCAAACAAATCATGGCCCAAATCATTTTGTCCCTCTCTTTTCCCCTTCTATCTATGCTCCCAAATTCAACAACAAACCAAACTTCCACTCGTTTAAAAGGAGCCAAATAATCATCTAACTAAATTCCAGGCTCAAATTACCACACATTTCAAATGAAATCATTCAGCAGCCAAATAACATTTTAACTCATACCAACACTGTCTTTCGTTATTTTAAACTCTCTTTTTATGCTGTGGAATCGAGCTGACTGAACAGTAAACAGTGCTATGCTTACACATGAAAACAAACCTATGATCTTGTTACAGCAACTTAAATAATTGTACGGACCATAAAGAAAATGTCAAATTTTGGTATTTGTCACTGTGTTATATATTGTTAAGTGAAAAGAAACGTTACAGGGATTGTTTTGAATCTGTTTATTGATAGATAAAGTGGTTTTTTGAAGATTTTGTTGCTGGGTGGGTGACAGTGGAAAAGGTAGGAGCTAGCTAAAATGATAATAAATTAACAATGAAGCTGTGTCAACAATAAAAGGAGTGCAATTGTTTCACTTCTTTAAAGAGACCAAGTTTGTCATGAACCGGTCCCCGAGTTGCTGTGTCTTTCTCTTAGTTTCATTTCCCAAGAAACATATCAGATACTCTACATTTACTTTCTTTCTCTTTCTCTCTCCAAATGCTTTTCAATTTCAAATGCTAAAAGATCTCATCTCACTATTACTACAGTGACTCCACGAAAAGGGTGATGAACCTGATATTGCTGATCCAACCTTTTCCGGAGATGGATTCTGAATTTTCAACAGCTTTAGAAGCTCCATAAATACATTACACTAAAACACACATCAGAGTCTTAATTATAGAATAGAAGAGAGAAGTTGCATTTTCTCTTTCTCTTTTTTCCAGGTTTAGTTTGCATCAGCTTAGTTATGCATGCAGCTAGATACACACATCTGGGTCGTCATGATAATGGAAGCTGGCGTGGTGTGGTCATAGATCATAATCATATATCTGTTCTCCACCTAGCTACCAAAAGTCACAGGCTCAGACACATAGCTTCTCCTGATTCTCACTTCTTCTCGTTAACTGTTCCAGCACATCTCTTCTCTTCTCTTCTTTCATTCATTGCTCTTTCTCCTTTAGCTATGTCTCTCAGCACCTTCACCAGCTACTCAGTGCATGCCTTCAACACTCGTCACTGTCATTTCACTACACAACAAAACTATAATAAATTCAACACTGCATCATGTTTCAAAACCTCACATCACGCATATTAATTTATACATATAGACTTGTGAGAGTATTCTTTTGAAGGAGTTGTACATGCATGTCATAAGTGTTATAATTAAATTTAATAGCTTATTAAATATCTATTTATTACTTGCTTTACTGGGTAACTGTTAATTTACCTGAAGTACATTCATTCAGATGTTGATGAAAATGATGGCAAAGCCTTTTTCCCAAGTAAATTATTGAGTTGCCTTCCCTATAATTTTCACCGGCCTGAAAACAGGTTAATTGACAAAAAGCTGAAACATTATTCAAATCTGGAAGGACTTCAGAAGAGGGATGTTATGTTTTGAAACGCTAGAAAGACCTAAGAGGTATAGCAGCTAGTTGCAGATAAAGAAAGAATTTCACATCTGATAGGTTTTCACTGTTGATGCTTTCATTCACCTTTCTTGTCCACGTGATATAAACATTCCCGCAGGTGTGAGAGCCTTGGATTAGCCAACTTTTTTCTTAACATATTCTTACTATCTTACCTCTCTCAAATGTTAATATACAATTAGTATCCAGAAAACTAGACAGATTTGCTTTGCGCTCCACATGAGTGAACGTGAGAGAGAGAGAAAATAGACCAAAAACAAGAAGCCTATTTGAAAAGATAGCAGTTCATTTTAAAAAATATGACTATCCTCTTAGATGAATACATTTGCAAACGTGGATTGATTCTTCACAGATACGAAATGCTTTCAAATTAAATGCGAAAACTTGGGAGACTTGAGCATAGTTACACAACAATCTGTACAGAAGCAAACTCAAGCTTCTTTCTTAAGCCATACATGTAAACAGATTGATTAACCCATCAAAGAAGTTCTATAGCAAGGATTTGTGAGAAGCTACGAAAAATACAACCTTTACAAAGATTTACAGGTAAAACAAAACAAGACGGCTTGTGAGTTGAAAATTCTGACCCTGCAAAAAGAAGCTGCAAAAGGGCATATTGAGTGTTAAAATTTGAGAGAAAGATGAAAGAAAGAGAAAGGCTTACCAAGGGGGGCATGCAAAGTATGAAGATTGTGAGAAAGAAAAAAGCAAAAGTTGGGTGGGGGGAATGAAGCCTGGTCCGAGAATCATTTTGGTGTTAGAGGGTAAATTTCCATTGGAAACTTTGAGTGAAAGAGTTGATCTGAGAACTCTCCTCCTCCATGACCTCGAGCCAGACAACATTCCTCTCAACCTCACCTTTGCAAGGAATGAACGACATGTGAACCTAGGTAGCTACATATGTTGTGTTTGAAGTAGTTGATGATTAGAAAGTAGAAACTGATCCATGAAGGAAGTACTTTTGAGGGGAATGAAGCCTGGTCCGAAGCCTTATAGTTCCATCCACTGTGAACCTCGTTTGTGAAAAGCCTCGAGCCAGCCAACATTCCCCTCAATACCAACCCATCTCAACGCGTTTCCTTCTTTCTCCCTCAAAACCCTAACCCACATATACCTTCTTATATAAGAGAAGAGAGAGAAATAAGGCCAAGCACTGACTCACACCACATAATGCTGCTTTTTACTCACCCATTCAGATGTTCCATAATTAGCTTATGCAAAACGGAACTTAAACTAACTACTCACCTGTAACATAACAACATCATAAACAACAAAATTCCCACAAAACACGCACAAATTCCTTCAACAAACTACCACCGAGTCATTTCGATCTCTTTCGTGTTACGAGTTTTACTCTAAATTTTTCTAAATTCAGTTACCAAACGTTAATTCATCCGAATCTTATTATGGCTAGCTACCACTTCTCACTTCTGTAACAAACTAACAATAAAACACAATACTATAATTATAAAATAAGTAGTTCTGCATTTTGATTCTGAATTATTAATAATGATAATGTTTTTGAATGAAAAGATTGTGGTGGGAATTACCTGATGGTGCCGGTCAACCAACAAAGCTGTTACCTGTTACCTGCTACCAACAGTTGGTGGTAGTCAAACACGGAGAAGAAGACAAAATGAGTATTTAAAATACACTTGACACGAGACAACTATGTCTTTAATGCGATTCTTTCATCATTGCCTTATTATTTTTAGCCTTTTGTTATCCCTACTTTCAAACTCCTCTGTACTATACGTTACCCGCACGGCCACATCATATCACAATCACACACTCTTCTTCCTTTCTTTTTCACTTTTCTCTCTCTCTCTCTCTCTCTCTCTCTCTCT